GGAACATCCCAGCAGCCTGGGGAGGACAGGAATGGGAACATCCCAGCAGCCTGAGCAGTGGAAGGATAGGAATGGGAACATCCCAGCAGCCTGAGCAGTGGAAGGACAGGGATGGGAACATCCCAGCAGCCTGAGCAGGAGGAAGGACAGCAGTAGGAATTTCCCAGCAGCCTGGGCAGTGGAAGGATAGGAATGGGAACATCCCAGCAGCCTGAGCAGGAGGAAGGACAGCAGTAGGAACATCCCAGCAGCCTGGGCAGTGATCACAGATCTGCTGTGACCTGCACGGATCAGCAGCCACTGCCTCTCTCCTCAGTGCTCTGCCTGTCTCATCTCCTCAGCCTGTAATTTTCTGGGGCAGTGGCTCAGTTCCTGTGCTTGTACTCTCCTGTCATTCAGCCCCTGAGGAAGGGGAATTCCTCTGGAATGGAGATGACGGAGATGAGCTTTTATATTTCATTAAAAAAAAAAAAGGAAAAGAAAAGAAGCCTGTGCTGGGCAACGAGGTGCTGGTACAAAGAATCCTCTCTTCTTAAATGGGACTTGACAGAGTGCTGATGCCACTTCACTTAGTTAATGGAAGGAGCCATCTAATACAGGCTAAATGCAGAACTGCCTAAAGGAACCTGGCATTTGGAGGGCTGCAGTGCTTGAAATATAAATGAATGGGACAAGCCCAGGCTCTGTTTCCCAAGGAATCGATTACCCGGGATCCTCTGACAACTGTGAAGGTCTTATTTGCAGGAGCAGGCAGAGCTATTTTTGTTGGAAACTGGGATATTTGTTGCTGGGGATTAAACACATCTTTAAAGCACCAAGGAGACACCAAGGAATGCTGTGGATTCAAGAGGGGCAGAAAGACTGAAGTGATTTTCCTTGCTGCAAAGCCACTGAGGAGAGTGATGGTAGTGCTGGGAACAATTTGAGTTCTGTTGCGTTGTATCCACAGCCAGAACAGTTTGACAAAATGATCCATTGTGTATTAAATCTCCAGATTCAGACAGTGTAAAAAATGCATGGGACACAGCATTTTGGAATAAGAGTGAGGCTGGACTGAGGTGTCCTTTCTCTTTCCAACTGTAAAAAGAAATAAGGATCTGTAACAGAAAATGTCTTGAGTGGAGATGAATGGAGTATAAAGACTGCTGATGAATTTTTCACCTCTGGAATGTTCTCCATGGCATTTATGAGCTGGTTTTCCAACAGAGCAAGTGTCTGAGCTACCACAGGAAGCACAAAGGTCCCTGTTTAGGTATCACTGAAATCTTGGAGACAGGTCAAGGGCTGACTTCACTGGAGACCCCATTTCCTTCTGCCATCCTGAGGCAGCTCCTTCCAGGTGAGATCAGAAGCCTCTTTAGAGGGCAGTGGGAGGAAGCTCCTGTATTTTTTAGAGGATGAATTCTTTTCACATCCCCATCCCTGCAGCATTTTTCACAAGCTCCAGATCCACCCAGACATTGGTTTGAGCACTGCTGACATCTGATATCTGTGACTTCCCTTCCCATCCCATCTGCCAGGCATTTCATTCTTCTGATGAAACAGCTCTAAAATTGCAAAGACAGACAAAATACAGCCTAAAATCACAAAAATCAAGTGCTGTGGCTGTTACATGGAACTTTATTGGTCAAGAAAAGAAGACTGGTTGGGGGTATCAGAGTATCACATTAAAGATCAATCAAGTTTCCAATGAAATACCAATTGGCACCAATTGATGTGGAACCTTCTTCTGCATGGTGTGGTTACCCTGAAGTTTCTCTGTTTCCACCAGCTGGGTTTATTTCTGGGTTTTTACTGCTTTATTCGGGGATTACTTGGTAAAGAAGCGTTTCAGGAAATGTCATCATGTGCCATGTGCTGCACTGATGTCAGCTGAGGAAATCAGTGTCAGGAGCAGGAAAAGCCAGGAGATGAATGGATCTCTGGGTTCAAAATAGGAAACAGCTTGAATTTCCTTTGTGGGGGGGGGAAACATAAAGCCCATTCATCAGCAATGACACAATTCCACCTCTGGCACAGAGAGAGGACTCTGCCCTCCTGCTGGTGGACAGACACATCCATGCCAATGATCCTGGGAATCCAGGGGTGCCAAGGAACTGCCCTGGAACAGTGACAGTTTTGCCTGGGGAGCTGTCCTCATTACCTGTGTGTGGCTGAGAGGTGTCACATGGAAATCTGCATTAATTGTGCTCCTGAGTGGATTTCATTCCCCAAAAGGTGTCTCCTTGTCTCACCCTTATCTCACTTTGGATATCAAAGCTGTGCCACTGAAGAGCAGGACCTTGCCTGGATGATGCAGTGTTCATTTACTCACACTTTGATATGAGGGCCCTGTCTGATCAAGCCCTCATCAGGGTTTATCAGTCAGGTGTATCTGGGTTTCTTTGGTTTCTTTGGTTTTTATGCACCCATCTGCTTGTTCACAGTACAAACACAGAATTTTGTGAGGTTTCTTCCCGGTCACACTCAGGGTAGGGCAGAAGTTTGTGGTGCCCTGTTGAGAACATCTCCAATTGCTCAATATAAAATGGTCAGTAGTTTTCTAAGAGCCTTTATTTTCTGTTCCATTACTCCAAGTACCTTCCCTGTCCTCCCTTGGGGCCCAGCTAGCAGCCTGGCTCCTATCTCCTGCTATTCTGAAATTTCTTTATTTATCTTAGACTCTGTCGTTTTGCTGAAACATTGATATTTTCCAGCAATCAGCTTATTACATGGAGATGCCTATTAGCTTTCTGAAGTCATATGTCAGTGAAACTCAAAACTGTTTAGCTTAACTTGACAAGCCCTATAGTGATATTGGAAAATTATTTTCTTCTTCAGACTCATGTTTATGTTCTTTTCCAATGAGCTGGCTGTTTTATTGCAAAAGAAACTGTAAAAGAGGTAATTTTAACTAGGCAAAAAATATATTCTGTTCTGTAATGTATCCATAACCTCCTAGAAGATCCTAATTAACTTCCTTATGTCAGCATAGGAAGCTCTATTGCATTTGTAGTTGCCAAACATTTCTTTCTTTTTAATAGAAATTATCCCTTTCTAAGACCTAGGGGCATCATCATTCCCAAAACAAGCTTTTCATCTGAGGATATCAGAAACACCAGGAGATTAATGGAAGCCTGAAGTTCAGCAGTGCAGAATTTCTGTCTGTTATCTTGTTTGTCTGCAGAGATAACAATCCTAATGACACGTGGGTGACACAAAGCACTCAGTGAGTAAAGTGGAGTTGCCAGGTTGGCTCCTGAGCTGCTGAAATGTTGAGTTTCTGCTGGACAAAGGTATCAGTCTGAGGGGAGAAGCTGTTTTACACCATGTTTGTGACACAGGTTCAGTGTAACTCAAGGTGGGCATGAGATATTTGGGGAAATTGTTTCCCTTCAAGGTGGGGAGGCCCTGGCAGGGGTTGCCCAGAGAAGCTGTGGATGGAGCAGCCACAGGAGGTGTCCAAGGCCAGGCTGACGGGGCTTGGAGCACCCTGGGGTAGTGGGAGGTGCCCCTGGAGGTGGCATCAAATGGTCTCCAAGTCCTTTTCCAGCCCAAACTGTTCCATGGCTCTGGTTCCATGACAGCACAAAGCAGTCACAGCAGGATGGCACCTTGGGTTGGAGTTTTTCTGTTCTGTTTTGGTGTGCAGCTTTAGCTTTATATGAAGTGTTACTGGGGTCTTTGCACAGGTGATGGAGACAAAACAATCCTGCTCTAGCTGGAGACTCCAGGACAATCTCCTCAAACTTCAGGCCCAAAGCACAAACAACATGGAAAGAGGAGGGGGGGCAAGCAAGCAAGGAGGATGAAACTTCATTATTTGAAGCTGTTAATTGGGCAGTTAATCCTATATGCAAATGGACTAAAACTTATAAAAATGTGAGCTCTCATGCCCAAGCTCTTTTGCTTCCATCTTGGAGCCATCTGGGCACTGCCAGGGTGTGGCCTTTGGAGGCACCTCAGTAAATCTCCACTTTATTCCTCTGAACTCCCTCTGGCCTCTGCTGCAGCTCCCCAAGGCATCAAGGACCCCGTGCCATCAGCCAGGCCCTGGTGTCACTTGGTCCCTCACCCATGAGGAAAACTGCAAACATTCCTCAGCAGAAGTGGAATTGAGTTCTGCCAGAGAAGAACAGCAATTACCTGCTGGCATTTGTGCTGCACTGGACTGTTCTGTTCTCACTGGCTGGGGGTTCTGCAAAAGGAGTGGGAGCTGCTACATGTCTGCACAGCAGGGTCCAACCTGCACTCAGCACTGGGAATTCCAAACAGGAAGATTTTCAGCCTGCTGATTTAAAATTATTATTAAAATATTTATTATAATATAATATAATATAATATATAATTATATATAATATATACCATAATATAATATAAATATAATAATATCATTATTATATTTTAAATTATTTACAGCCCTGCTGATTTAAAATAAAAACTGTCTTTGCTTTAATCATACAGTTCCCAAGCTCAGCTTTGATGAATTGCAGAGGCAGGCTCTTATTAAGTAACAGTGGGTTTTTTCTTTAGTCTTTTTTTTTTCCTGAAAAGAGCAGGAAGTTTGCCATTCTACAGAGCAAGATGAATGAATTTGCCATTTGAGGCTGAATTTTCCAAGAAGGATTAGGATCTTTTGCAGTCCTGCAAATGCAGGATACTACTTGCAAACCCAGCATTTCTCTAGGCTCATAATCATCATTTGCATTATAACTCCATAAGCAAAAGAGGGAGAAGGAATTTCAAATGTGAACACTTCCAATCCTTAACAGCAGCTACAAATTGAAGTGAAAAAGTGAAAATTCCCTTGCTCATAGTCAGAAATTATCATTATTATTATTATTAATGGGTTGAGCTCAATTTCACAGTGAACTGCTGTATCTCAATTTTGTGTGATAAAAAGTGAACACAATCTTCTGGTTGAGGCACAGATGTGCTGAAATGTCACCAGTGTGACAGGAGAGAGAGGTTTTCATCTGATATAACAACCTTCCCTTTGTCTCCATGTGGTTTTTCTCCAGCTATCCATTCCCCATGGTCTTCAGCAGCTGCAGCAGGAAGGACCTGGAAAACAGCCTGGAGAAAGGAGTGGGGATGTGTCTCTTTAACCTGCCTGAGGTCAAGGAGTCCTTTGGTGGCCAGAAGTGTGGGAATGGCTACGTGGAGGATGGAGAGGAGTGTGACTGTGGGGAGCCTGAGGTAAGAGAGTGTGGTGGGCTTTGAGGGACCCCAGGACGAGGGGAGAGATGAGAATCTTGGCTGCCATGTTTCAGAAGGCTGGTTTATTGTTTTATGATATATATATTATGTTAAAAGAAAATGATATATTAAAACTATACTAAAAGAATAGAAGAAAGGAGACATTAGAAGGCTAGACAAGAATGAATAATAAAAATCTGTGACTCTCAGAGCCTCGACACAGCTGGACCACAATTGGTCATCGAGTAAAAACAACTCACATGCAACCAATCCAAGATGCACCTGTTGGTGAACCATCTCCAGACCACATTCCACAGCCATCAGATACTCATTGTGTACATTTCTTTTCTGAGGCCTCTCAGCTTCTCAGGAGAAAACTCCTGGCAAAGGGATTTTTCAGAAAATGTGTCAGTGACAGGACACCACCTGGGAAATGCTGCTCATGTCCTGCCTGCAGGATTTTGGCAGTGGAGGCTTGGTTTGGTGGGCTTGGTGTAAGACAGAGCTCTCACTTCTCTGCTTCTGTCCCATCAGCTCGAACCTCAGAGTCTCAGAAGAGCAGGGAGCCTCAAGTGCATTCGAGATGGGAAAGTTTAGGCAGGGCTTGGGTTAAGAATGTGCTCAGTTCATCCTTAGAGAGCAAACTCTGGCTTGTCCAGCAGACTGGCCATGACCTCCTGGTCCTAGAAGTTCCTTTCAGCATTAGCTAATCAGCTAAACTCAGAAGAAGTTTGAGAACTTGGCTGGAATTTCTCAAGCAAACACGAGTTAGTCGAAGGTTTGTTTCCGTCAATAAGAAGCCACTCTTATATATTTATGTTAATATTTATATTTATAAAATTCTTGAATTGTATTTAAATTTTCATTTATTTATATCTATGTCAACATAACCACAGAATCTCTGCAGTCCTAGAATGCTTTGGGTTGGGGACCATAAAGATAATTTCATTTTCCCCCTGCCATTTCACTTATTCACTGTCCCAGGTTGCTCCAAGCCCTGTCCAACCTGGCCTTGGACACTTCCAGGGATCCAGGGGCAGCCACAGTTTCTCTGGGAACCCTGTGCCAGGGCCTCACTATCCATATCTATAGAATTATACAAATAGAAATATTAATATTGGCCAAGTATTTTTCATTGCAGCTTCAGTTTTTAGGTCCAAGACCTTTCCTCCTTCCCTGTAGGATTTTTCTTTCCCTCTAGTCAGTTACCTCCCAACAGAAAGAGTCTTCACTGCCTCCCAAACACATTGCTGCTGCTTCCAAGATTGTTCCATTTAGTTTAGTGAATGTGTCAGAGGACTCCTCAGATCAGCAGGAGATAGGCAAAACCTGGGGTCAAATAATATCCGAGCTGGCATCCTTATCCCTTTTACATCCTCTCCTCATTGGCTTTATTGAACTTCTCTCTGATTATGTGAATTAAAGGCAGCAGCAGATCTGGGATTTGTTTCCTGTGATGAATAGGGACCTACAGACAAAAGAGATGGGGGCAGTTAAAGGAGCAAGATATTGCTGCATCCTGCCTGTGGAGTGCATTGGGCTTGTCCAAGCCTTGAGGATTTCCTGACAGTTCCTCACTCTTGAGGATAGCAGGGTTGGAGGAAGCAGCCTTATCTCCATGTTTAAAGTCAGTAGAGTGCAAGCAGCTTGCAAATGTCTTTGTAACCCTGTTATCTTTCTTGTTTTCATTTCTGAACGTCAGTGATACCTTTTCAAGTCAAAGCCACTTAATGTCAGCAAGCACTGCCTTGATTTGCCTCTTCTTTCTGTCTTTTTTTGCCTTTTTAGTTATATTGGAAAAAATGCAGCTTGGGTGCAATTAAACTTATTTGGGATTTACTGCTGTGATCTGAGTGCTTCCAGAAAACCTGTGTGATTAGTTACTAATGCCCTGCCCACTCATTTGTACCAGCTGAGCTCTGTCCATGGTGTTGCAGCATCCCAAGAATGAGTAATATTAGGATTAAATTCTTCTGTGAGGGTGGGCAGGCCCTGGCACAGGTGCCCAGAGCAGCTGTGGCTGCCCCTGGATCCCTGGCAGTGCCCAAGGCCAGGTTGGACACTGGGGTTTGGAGCACCTGGGACAGTGGAAGGTGTCCCTGCCATGGCAGGGGTGGCACTGGATGATTTTGGTCTCTTCAAACCCAAACCATTCTATGATTTTATGATCCTAACAATTTTTGTCTGTATGACCAAAAATGCCTGATGTGCTGCAGTGTCTGTGGAAGGAGGGTTAATGTAAATTATAGATAGAAAGATAAAAGGATAAAGAGAAGTAAAAATCTTCAGTCCTTGAAAGATGAAAATATGTCTTTCATAACCAGCTGCAAGGAAGAACAGAAAACTACAAATTGCTAACTCAGAAGTCAGACAAATTACTTCCAAATGTAATTAGGAGTGAGTGCCCAAACAGCTGTGACATGCCAGGGACGAGTCAACACAGCTTTTGTGCCAGGAACTCTTCTCTTACAAAATCGTGTCTTACAAATCCATCACAGAGCTCTGAAGGGCTCAACAAGTGCATGGAAAGGGAAGGGACAGGGCTGTCACTGCAGCCTGTGAGGGGCTCAGAGAGGCTTTGGGCCAAACCTTCACCAAAGCATCTCTGGGAGATTGAGCAGCTGTAAAGGAGAGAAAAGTGCACGGGCAAAAATTGGGTTAAAAGATGAGAAATGCAAGCAGGTGTAAATCACCCATTTCATGCAGTGGTAGGAGACCTGCTGTGCTGTATCCATGAGATGTGTCCTGGGACTACACAACTCAGCATTTCCATAAAGAGCCTGGGAGGAGGAATAGTCTTTAATTTGCTGATGATATTAGTTAGGCTGCTAGAGATGAAAACTGGCTGTGAAGGACTGCAGAGAAACCTTCTGAGGCAGCTGGAGCAGGCATTAGGATGAGAAATGGGACTCACTGAGGAGTGATGCACATTCCAAAAACACAAAGAAGATGATGGACTCTGAGCCGACTCTGACCATGGAGGAACAAGACTTCATATTGCAATAAATAGTCTCATGAAAATGTCAGCCCAGTGCTCAGGAGTGGTCTAAAAGGTAAATAGGCTGTTAGAAAGTACTAGGAGAGAAATAGGAAAACAAAACAAAGCACCAGCAGACCTCTATAAATCTGCTGTGCCTGAAACTGCTTGTGCAGGTTTTCCCTACCCCTCCCTGATCCCAGGGAGGATAAAGCAGAGTGAAAAAAGATTGAGAGAAAAGCAATAAGGTGGTTCAAAGTTTCCAAAGGGCTCTGGCTGGAAAAGAAGAAAATAAAGGGGAATGCAGCCTAAGCTGATAAAATCGTGAAGGGAATGGAAAGGGTGAGAGAGGAGAGATCAACAAATGAGCAGATGAAGTTAGAAAATGGCAGGTTCCAAACAAGCAGAAGGAGCTGCTGCCCTGACTGTGTTGGTTACCTGTGAGTTCCTTTACTCTGACTCTTACAGGTGCTAAAAATGCCCATGGAGCCAAGGGAGAGCCAAGGGAAAGGCAGGAGAATGGGAAGGTGTCAATGTCCTTAAACCTCTGCTGCTGGCTGCTCTCAGGGGGACACAAGGGGTTATGGGCTGACCCCGTGGGGTCTGTCCTGTGTTCTTAGAGAAGAGAGGGGGAAATCCAGGTGTCCTGTCCACAGCACAGAGCCTGGCATCTCGTAGGTAGTGCTGGAATTGTTCTGGGGTTGGGCTGCTCTGGTTCCTCTGAAGAGCCAGGAGAGCCACACTGAGAAACCTCCTCCCATCATTGCTGTTGTTATCAATAAATAATAATAATAATAATAATAATAACAACAACAAACTCCAGCACAGCAGTACTTCCAGGTGGCAGTCTCCATCCTCCCAAAACCTGGTGAGCCTTGCTTGTTTTTTCACTTGTTTATGTTAAAATCATTCCTGACAATTTGATAGCCCAGGCACAAAAACTATTTACCAAGCTCATTCCCTACAATGAGCAATAAGTGAGGCAGCAATTGGAAATTTCAGAGGCTGCTGAAACACCACTCCAAGAGCTGTGTCTTTATCCCAGTCTGCCTGTGGAATGCTGCTGTGGGGCCAGAGGATGGGGTATTGCAGCTGACTGCTTCAAAATGACCTTAATGGGACTGACACTCCACCCTGCTTATCTCAGATTATTTCTGAGGTGAATTTAGAAAACGTGCTTCTGTGCAGAGGAATGTTGCTCCTGACATGCAGCAGCTGCACAGGAATATTTCTGTAGCCTGCTGCTTCCCGGTGATCAGAAATAGGAGCAGGAAGTTGTTCCTCTGCTTCACAGCACAGTTGGCTTTGTACATCCAGGAAGATAATACCTAAAAAAACAGTGAAATGCTGAGAATCCTTCTGGTTTGTGCTGGTGAGTCAGTTGGGAAGCTTTCAGAAGCCAGGGAAGTAACAAGAGACTGAGAGCATCACTCTAACCCACTCATTCCTCCTGTGTTCCCTCTATTGTCAGTGATCCCTTGCTAAGTCAAACAGATTTAACACAGCTGAAGAGCAATTTTATCTGCTCCTATTTCTGTGAGAGAGATGAGATTCCAGCTCAGCTGGTGTAACTTGCAGCTTGTGGGCATTATCTTGGAAAAACAAATCCATTCTTTTCTGAGGCTCCTTACGAGCTCATTCTACTGACAATAAAGTTTGCAGGAGCCCACACACGGCACCATCTAATCCACAAGTGTGAAATTGGGGATGTATCAGTGAGTGAGGCTGCAATTCATGGCCATTCCATATCTCACAGCTCTATTACTGGTGTGCTCTGATAAGGGATTACATGGAATCGTGTCGTTGTCTTCCTCTGTGGCAGCCCCAGCCTCCATCCAAACAGGAGCCTGGCCAGCAGCTAGCACAAAACAGAGCTGTGGTCGTGATGCTCAGCAACTGCAGCAGCTCCTGGATCCTCTCTGGAGGCACTGGAATCATTCCACTGATTCCTGTGGCAATAAAACACCCCAGTGCTCTATCAGGGTTGGTGTCAGCACGCTCGGGTTGTTTCTGATATTTGGGATTAGATCCATAGCTGGAATAAACCAGCCCTCCTCAGCAGCTCCTCTGGTTTTACTACACTTGTTGGGCTTGTTGAATCCGAGGGCAGACAAGGCTGTTTGGATCAGGTTGTCGAATTTCATGCATAATTCATGATTTCATGCCCAGCTTTTCTTGGCAGAGCTATAGGCAGCCTCTTGATTTACAGCTCATGGTGACTGCACGTTGTCTGCTCTAAATTTACCCTCCAAATCCATGCAGGAATGTACAAACCCGTGCTGCAATGCAACCACCTGTGCCTTGAACCCAGGAGCAGTGTGTGCACATGGGCTCTGCTGCGAGGACTGCCAGGTGAACCTGGGGAAATGTCTCTGGGTGGGGTGGGGAGGGCAGAATTCTGCATTTTTCCCTGCTTCAGTGCAGTAAGCAACGATGGAGGAGAAGTAAATTGGTATTGATGAGCATTAAGACACTTGCATGTCATGTGAGCAATTAGATAATTCCCAAAGCAAGGATGGAGGAGAAGTAAATTGGTATTGATAAGCATTAAGACACTTGTGTGTCATGTGAGCAATTAAAAAATTCCCAAAATATAAATTATTGAAGGAGCAGATCAACAGATTTTTTTTAATTGTCTCTGTGCTTTTTGTGGCCCCTTCAGTTACTCATGCAAAACTTCTTTTTCATGAACTTTTGTGTGCTTTAATTTTTCTCATTCTTACTCAGCAAGCATTCATTAAATGCTTAACCCTCTTTTTTGGGGGGAGGGTCCTTAAATTATTAACTCCATCAGCAGCATAATGTATTTTTAACAGCAGCTCATCAGCTGTTGTGGTCTCCTAACACTCTATAAAAGCCAACTTACCACAGGCATTTACCTGCTTGAATTCTCAGACCATCCCTTGCCTGTGGGCTAATAAAGCATCCAGCACGTTGTCTGTGGCAACCTATGAGCTTGGAGCAGCAAGGGATCCTCACAGCCAGGAATTGCTTTTTAGCAAAATCAATCTATCTTCATGTCCTTTGCTTTTTACCAAAGGCAATGTGATTAAAATTCAGCGCTGCTCCCAGAGCACACCCAACTTTTGTGGCTGCTGTTGAGATGTGAATGTTCAGACTGGCACGTTCCAAAAAAAAAATATCATTTTCCATGGAAGTTGGTACAGGACAAACAGTTAATCTTGTAACTAAGTTTGAGGAGATCTTGATGCCCATCACAACAACATTTCCATGAGGAAATGTAACTCCATAGATTTATTAACGTTCAAGATCTATTCAAGATCATTGAATTGAACCTTCCAAGCTGGGAATTGTTGGGCATCTGAATCCACAGCCAAGTGTGCTGGTGGCTTCCTGTGCCCTAACACAGCACAGTGTTCTGTGATCAGCTGCCCTGGATGGAAAGGTCTCTGACCTGCCCAGTGCCCCAGATCCTCCTTTCCAGAGTTCTTGTGCTCGGACACGATGAAGGAGCCACCTGCAAACATCAGGGCTGGGGTTCCCTTCTGTCTTGAGTCATGTGTGCAGCTTCATCTGAGCCTCCTTGCTGCCAAAGCCTCCCAGCATGGCTCAGATCGTGCACTCAGAGCTCTGCCATCCCTGCCCTGTCCTCTGCAGTCAGCTTGGGCTGGGCCGGGGGAAATCTGTCTGCTCCTGTGCTGCAGGGCTGACCAGACACAGCCCAGCCACTGAAGGTCTGTTTGTTTTGCAGCTCAAAGCAGCAGGGATTTCGTGCAGAGAGTCGAGCAATTCCTGTGATCTGCCCGAGTTCTGCACGGGGGCCAGCCCGCAGTGCCCGGCCAACGTTTACCTGCACGACGGGCACGCGTGCCACGGGGTGGATGGCTACTGCTACAATGGCATCTGCCAGACCCACGAGCAGCAGTGCATCACCCTCTGGGGCCCAGGTGAGTGCCAGAGAGGCCTCAGGTTTGGCTTTTCTATTTTTCCCATTCTGTGCTGCTTTAGTGTGTGGGTCTGGGCTCACATCAGGGCATGCTGAGCTCTGTGCACAGAGCAGGGAGACAAAACAATTCCTGCTCCAGCTGGGCACCAAGGACAAATGATCCAAATCTCAGCCCCAGAGCACAAACCCCGTGGGCTGGAGAGAGAAAAACAAGCAGGGTGGGACTGCAGGGGCTAAAGCTGGAATGGGACAATGAACTGCAAGGTGCAAATGGAGCAGAACTGATCCCAGGGACAGAGCCCGTGCCCGGCCGTGCATTTTGGGGCCATTTTGGTTCATCTTGGGTGCAGCCCTGGCTGGGCTCTGGTGCTGCCCAAGGTGGATCCATGGAGGAGATGCTTTGAATAAATCCCTGCTTTATTCTTTAGCTCTGCCCAGCCTCTGTCCTAGGCCAGCCCTCCCAAGGCATCACCAGCACTGGGACACAGGTCTGACAGAGGCTTGGGGGAAGGAATAAAGATCTGGAGGGTGCAGCACCAATCTGTAGCTGTTTGAATCATGAGGGAATCTCTGGGTGATTCATTCCAGCCTTGATTTGCTGTCGTGTTCATGTCTTGCAGCAGGAGGTAACGAGGCTCATGCAGCAACAAGCTGCAAATGGATAGGTGAACTTAGACAAATCATTTCCTCCTGACTTTGATATGGTCTGATGTCACCCCACAAGGTGCTGAACGCTCCTGGCAGGTTGAAATCACAGCCCTTTTCAGGCTGCTGTGTGAGCTTCCTCCTGTGCTCTAAACAGCTCATCTGCAAAACAGATGTGTCTGCTCCATCCCCAGCCAGGGCTCAGCTTTTGACACTGACATGAGACTCCTGGATCACTGTGTGTATTTGATTAACTGGTGTCACCTGGAAACTGCCTCCTGACAGTGCTTTTAGCAGGGTGTGCACTGAAGCAGAAAGGGGTTTATTCTCCCGTGGGAATTTGCTCCCTTTTTGCAGAAATCTGTTAACATGAGTTCTTGAGTTGTTCTCAACATGTTTCCCAAGAAAGCTGTTCACCTTTCTATAAAGGCCTGTGACCCTTCCATTGAAATGCAAGTATTAACTCAGAATTTTGGTATGAATCCAAATCATGTCTCCTTCAGCATCTCTGACCTTCTATCTCAAATTTGAAAAACTCTCTCTCCTAAGGAGAAACATTACTTAGAAATAGGTGTAATTATTTCTTTTAAACTAATATTTCCAGCCTCTTTGAATTCAGCATCTCTAACTCTGCTCCAAAACCTCTGTATCAGTATAATGGCACACAGATGTTTCCCTTGGTCAAAGCCCTCCCCAGAATACTACTGAAGAATTTCTCTGTTTCCTTCCCAGAGAACGTGGACTTTTTGCAATCTCTCTTTAAAAGAGCATTAAAGCATGTCAGGAAGCAGCCCCAGTGGTGCAGGTCAGCTTGGCCATGTGGGTATCAGAGCACGTTCAGGAGGGGTTCCAGCTCAGAACTGAACTCCTCACGTGGAACAAAGCGTGCTGTGCTCCAGTCCCACGCGTGTCCTAGAGCTGATGTGAGCTCATAGAGCCATGGACAATTATAGCCTCCAGCCTGAGTCAGACTGGGACTTCTAATCCCTGCATACACAGACATTTCCTCTTGTAGAAAGCAAAAATCTCCTCCTGAACCAGTTTCCCATGCTGTGGAAAGTTACTTGGTCAGGCTGTTTGTGGTGTCAGTGGCTGAGAAAAATTCCTCTAAAGGTCAGGGAGCTGCATTGCTGCAGCTCCTTGCCAGGTCTGCTTCCTAACACAGCAATTCCACCACAGCCCTGGGATCCCCTAATTCTCTCCTGCCTTCCTTCTTGGGACTGTTTGATATGGGCACTGGCAGGCATGGAAGCTCCATCTCTCTTTATGAGACAGATGTTGTGTTAAGAACAGAGCTCAAACAGATTTTGGCTGGAATACCCTTTGGTTTTGCCTTGGGAAGGCCCAAGGAGAAGGATTTTAAATAGGGAGGAAGGGACATGACCAAACCTGAACTGAAAGTCTTAATTCTTGCCACGTTTTTGGAAGTATAAATTAAAAATAAATGCAGATTCCCAGAGGGGTTTGGGCTGGAAGGGACATTAGAGATCATCTCATTCCACCCCTGCCATGATCAGGGACACCCTGCACTAGACCACGTTGCTCCAAGCCCTGTCTAGCTGGCCTTGGACACTTCAAATAATGCCCATATTCTGGATTTAAAGAGTAGGGGTGTGAATATCCACTGCTCTCTCACACATCTGGCTGAAGTGTGAGCTGGCAGATTTGGGGTGGAATGAGAAGAGGGGTGGGTGGCTCATGCAGTTGGAAAAACTGTACAGATCATGGTACAGATTAAAAACCTACACGTCTTTCCAGCCTTGCCTGCAGCACAAAGAGATTTGACATTCTAAGATGTTGTCTCTGGACTTTGTACCAAAAATATACATTGGAACCTTTTCCCAGGTTGTTGTGTCTGATCAGAACTGTTTTTAACAACTGCCTGTGTTGAAGTAGTTTTGTGTTTAAAAAAAAAATAATTCCCCCTCTAAAGGAAAATCATATTACAATTCATTTTCATTCTCTCCTTATTTTCTTCTTCCCAGTAGGAGGAATCCATGCAGAACAAAATACAATAACTTTTCCTAAAATAATATTTGGTATATTGAATTCCTTATTAATGTCTTCCCTTGTACATCTTTCTTTATTCATCAGGTTACAGATGTCCAGAAGCCCAATGATAAATGTCAATCTTCATGTTTTTAGATCTATTTAAAGGAAAATGATGAACACTGTCAGAGCTTGTTTACATTAGGCTGAGCAGTAGGAACCTGTTTCCAGAAAAGCACTTGCATTTCCTTGGGGTTGTTTTTGTTTCTCTCAACACAGTGGCTCAGATAAAATAGAGGAATTTTGGTTTTTTTCTTCTTTCTTATCTTTGTGGAAAGCTTGGTGGGAAGGAGAAGGGAGGAGCTCCTGGGGAGAATCTCTGAAAATAGCCATGAGTTCCTCTCAGAGGCCAGGTTGATTCCAGTCTGCTCCCAGAGCTCTCCATTCTCTCTCTCTCTCCATAATTCATGTCATTTTTATCTTTGGGGAGCAGGAAATTCTGGTGACCTTTTTTTGGTCCATATTCAAAATTATCAGATTGTACTGATCTGACCTATTGATAGCAGTGACATCAGTGGTGATGCTGTGTGTGGTGGCATTTTCCAGACACACAGATAGAGCTGCTCAAGACAGAGAAATCATTGATTACCAAGGAACAGAAGATTCTCAACTTTAAACTCATGGCTTTTTCTGCATCGACAAGAAAATGATTCTTTAGGGAAGTTTGTCAGTTTGTTTTCCTGTAATTTCCCCAAGTGGGGAAAAAAGCAATGATTTTGGGGAGCCAATGGCAGGCATTGATTTAATAATTAGAAGACATTTAAATGTGTTGCATGGACATGGCCATTTGTTGAGGCAGGAACATTCTTAATTTAGATGTCAATATTTGTTACTGAGTGAGAACTTTGCAGGTTTTGCCAGGTAGAACCCTACAGACACAAAATAAATGGGCTGCCCGCCTCAGATATCTGACCCAACCATTGCTGATGTGCTTTTGGAAAACTGCTAATTGTCCAAGCACTGCAATTTCCTGAATTCAGTGAAATCAAACTATTTTGACCATCACAGATTTATGGCCAGGCCTTTTTCTTCTGGAGATGGGAAAGATATTAAATCATATTCTCAGGGGTGGTGACATCATCCTCCTTAAATGCACAGAAATGCTCAACCCCATCTTGCTCTTGTCCAGACAGAACAGGGATCACCAGGATGGGGAGAGAGGCCAAGGGCAGCTCGTGGAACTTTTGCTTTGCAGCAAAAACAAAGTTAATGAGCTGAAACCCAGATCACACGACAGAGAACTGTGGTTTTTATGCTTATATTTACTTGCACAGTTATTTGTGGTGCTGGCTGGCACAGCCTGAGCCACAGAACTCCAGCCTGTTACTCAGAGGTTGTTTTTTTCCCCTCTCCCCACCCACAGACAGCTGGGAGCTGAACTGAAATATCTTCCTTTTCTGCTGTCAGCCTGATAGAGCATGTTTCTCGTGTTCATGGAATCAGCACCATGGTCAGAAATTTCCCTCATTCCTTTCAAGAGGCTCTGTTGGTGTTTACCTATGGCAGCAGGTCTGAAATGACACAGCATTTCTGTGCCCTGCAACTTATACTTTTTTATTTTTTTATTTTTTTGCAACTGCATAGGGAAAGAAGTGGGCTCATCAATATACACATTTGGAGAAAAAACCCCAACAATCTCCAGGCTGGCAGCTGCAGGGGTGAGCTTTGACCTTCTGCAGCTTCCAGGGGCTGATTTAATCCCTTGAATGAGGCTTGGCATGGAAGGGCTGACAGGACCTTAATTAGAGGGTCATGATACTATAATTACCAACAGCAAAGTGAAATAAACTCTGTTCATCCAGCTCAAACCACTTAATAACCCTCAGAAATCCTTCACAAATCATTTTGCCTCTGCCTGCAGAGGTAGAAAATAGAGGAAGACAGGACTTTCTGCTTCAGTTTACGTGGTGCAGTCATGATAAATGGGTTTCCTCCAGAAACACAACATTACAATTCTCTTCCTTAAGCATCCTCTGAAAACCTCCTTTTAACTTGGTAGCTCCATCTGTTCAGCATCTCACACTCTGATATGTTTTCATCCATAAAAAAGTACAAATATTGTGAGAAGCCAGTGGGGAGAGGGAACAGCCATCTGAATCCCAAGCACCAGCATGTCTTGGGTGGAAACCAAAGGCAGAAAGTGAAGCTGGGTTTTGGTTTCCAGGCTGCAGATGATCACTGGGTACCAGGTGTTTCCACACACAGACTGCTCCCAGCCTGGCAGGGGAGTGGTTGTTTGTGCTCCACAAGATCCTTTTTCTTGTCAAGTGTTATTAAAGCTGGAGTTAAAGCTCAGTGTCTGAGCCCTGCAGATGTGTTTTCCTTCCTGGGGGCTGCTTTCCATCATCTCTGCAACGCCTGGCTGCTGAATTCAGGAAAAAAATCAGCCACACCAAAAAAAAAAACCAACAACTTCCACCAGGTGAAAGAGGAACACCTTAAACTCTCTCTGTCTTCAGTGAGTGCATTCCCTTTTAAAAACCATTTTCAGAATAAGCCTTAGTTACATCCCTTGCAGTCAGAGCACAGGACATGAGCATTCATTTGGCTTTTGGCAGCTTTGGCCCTGAGGGGACAGCACTGAGGGGACAGCACTGAGGGGACAGCACTGAGGGGACAGCACTGAGGGGACAGCACTGAGGGGACAGCGTGTCTGGGCTCTGGGCTGTGCTGCCACAGCTCCAAGGGAGCATCCAGCCCCTCAATTCCATGGCAGCAGCTGAGCTGGGCTGAGGCTCCTGGCCAAAAACAACACCCAGAGCAGTTGCTCACAACCAGGGCTGCACAAGCTGGTCCTTGCACATGTGGGAGAAAAAGCAGGTTTAGAAAAAGCAGGTTTAGAAAAGGCAGTTTTAGGAAAAGCAGGTTTAGAAAAAACAGTTTTGGAAAAAGCAGGTTTAGAAAAAGCAGTTTTGGAAAAAGCAGGTTTAGAAAAAGCAGTTTTAGAAAAGGCAGGTTTCCTTGGCCTCTTGCTCCCAGAACGTTTCTTCCCTCCCCAGCCCTTCCAAAGCTGCTATAGAATATGCACATGGTAATGTTTGTCTCAAGCTGAACACTGAGTGTGCCCACCCTGGAAAGATGAGGAGGCATCTGCATGCTGAAAATGGAAATTTAACTTTTGCTTTTTCTGCACAGCGCCTCGTCTGGATGCTTTTGTTGATTTTTTTTTTTTTTATTATTGCATGAACTTTAATGAAAAAGAATTGAAAGAATCCTGTGTAGGTCCCTTTTAGGAGTTCTAGATTTGAAAAAAATATTCTGAACTCAGCAAGCTTGATCATAATCTTCCAAAGAATTTCAGGCTCTTGTCCTTCTCCCCAGGGAACTATCAGCTCATATTCAGTTCCTTCTGTGCCTTTCTTGCTGAATTTTCCAGTTTCAGCATGTTAAAATGTTAGAAGGAAAAGAGGGTGCCATCTTAAGTCTCTCCAACTCTTAATACTTTGTCCTTAATAGCATTAGATTGCTGTTCAGCAGTATATAGTATTAGTCAAGCTTCTGACTATGAAATGCAGATAATTAATTGAAGTTTTAATCTCTGAGTTTTTAGTGAAAAGATCCACACTGGCTGGAAGTGTTACAGTCATATTTGTATTTTCTTCTCCAGGAATCTGACCCCCTTTTTTTTCTTTTAAGAAAAGAAAAAAAGAACATTTTCCTCTTTGAAGGCTTTCAAATGAAATCTTCAGTCTGGCTCAAATAAATGCAATGTTTTACCCACAGTTAGAGGCATACACACTTGGAAGTGACTCAAAACATTTGACAAAATGTAGCACTAGTTGAAATGTTCTGTGTCTGGTAAAGATCAGGAGCACTGTAGAAATGGGATATTCTCAGCCTTTGGGCTATCACATCACTTGCTGCCAAGTTCTTTTTGCTTTGCTTTGGCTGATCTGTCAGAAGCACAGAAATGCAGGTAGCAGGTCTCTGGTCTCAGTTTTAGCCAGAGTTTCTTCTCTGCTGCTCAAAGCCAGTCTCCCTGTTGGAGCAGTTGAAATGTTGGTGGTGACTCGATGGTGCTGTTAATTATTTTCATGGAAAGAAAATACAGAGTAGTAAAGAGCCCTAACAAAGGGCCTCTTAATCTTGCAAGAAGCAGCAATTATTGGCTGGAAATGAAAGCCACACTTCACTGTAGAACAAAGGGATTAAATTCCAGTACACTGACTAATGAATTGTTGCAGCAGTCAAACCAGGGAAGCAGATCCTTCACCTCTTCAGCATTCCAGATGAACGGATGCATCTTCCCCTAGAAGATATTCTGTAATTGGTTCTAATCTGGAGGGAAATGAGCAGGAGATTGTGTGTATAAAACACTAGAAGAGATGTTCTAATAGCGCCCTTGAACTCCTGAAGTGCAAGGATTAATTATCTGCCTGCACAAGCTTTTCCAGCCCTACTCCCACCAGGGAAGTTCCTTTGCCATTAGGATATGTCTTTATCAGAAAAGATCACAGCAGATAAGAGCCAGATACTGCCTGAACTCCCATATTCCCACTTCTACCACCATGACAGAAATGCCCCTTCTTCCATGTCACTCTTCCTCTCAGGAGTGGGTGTCCTGAGGGTTAAGGTGGGATGGGCTCCTTTCCTCTCCCCAGTCCTTCAGCCCGAGTTAATAGCAGCACATTTCCCTTTGCCATGCCAGGCCCTCACATATTTACACCCAGTTTACAACTGGATTTTCCCTGTTGGCTTGTTCTCAATTGCAGTCAAACAGGCCTTTCTTGAAAAGAATTTTCTTTGGGGTGTCACTAGAACATGAACTTCTGCAAAAGAAGAGTCAACTTTCCAGCTGGCCTTTGTCTGTCTGGTATTTGCTAGAAGGTTTTGTGTCCTAGGAGGATTGGCAAGAGGGCTGTGAGCTGAGAAATCCTGGAAGAGAAGGAGTTCTGCACTGCCTGTTGCTCAGAGACAAACTCTGGCAATCCCACCCATCCAAACCCTTCCATTAGCATGCACCGCTGTTTTGTTGCCTCATCAACATTCAGCTCACATCCCCCCTTTCCCCTAAAGCACCAGCAGAGCTCAAAGGAAATTATTAAAAACACCTTGTATGAGATGAGAGTTCTGATTAGGTTTTGTTTCAGGTGCAAAACCCGCTCCTGGGATCTGCTTTGAGAGAGTCAATTCTGCTGGAGACCCTTACGGCAACTGCGGGAAGGACTCCAAGAGCTCCTTTGCCAAATGTGAACCCAGGTAGGGCCTCTCCCTGCAAACACAGCAACAGGTGCTGGCAGAGGGCTTGGAACATTTCCAATGATTCACCTCATCCTTGCTTGTGTTGTGTTTATTTCCATCAGGGATGCGAAGTGTGGAAAGATCCAGTGTCAAGGAGGAGCAAACCGACCCATCATTGGTACCAATGCAGTTTCCATAGAAACCAACATCCCACTCCAGGAGGGGGGCAAGATCCTGTGCCGTGGCACCCACGTGTATCTGGGGGATGATATGCCTGACCCTGGGCTGGTGCTGGCAGGAACCAAGTGTGGAGATGGAAAAGTAAGATTCTGGAATGCTCCCAGACGAGGGGAACATCGCTACTGTCACTCTGCCAAGTGTTTTGTACTTCTTTTTTCTTTGGATTTTTTTTTTTTCCCCCACAAAATAATTGCTTCTCATGCTTAGACTGAAACAAATTTTCCTCCCTTCTGGCCACTGTTCTGGATTATGGATTTTCAGATGCAAATTTGAGCAACCTGATCTGGTGGAAGGTGTCCCTGGCCATGGCAGGGGGTTGGAAATAGATGAGCTTCAAAGTCCCTTCCAACCCAAAACATCCTGGGTTTCTGTGCAATGCAAGTTGCTTAAGTTTATGACTGATTTTTTGAAGACAGTCCCAATTATCTGCCCACGGAGGCTTGGGGTTTTCTGCAAAATAAGTACAGCAAAATACATTACAGGCTTATTAATGAATTCCTGAGCTCCATGTGTTCCCTTTCCCAGCATCTCTGGCATTGCAAAATTGTCATTAACTTCACTTGAGGTTTCAAAACATATTTTATCTTCTGATTATGACTCCCCACTTCTTTTTTTCATGCAGGAAAACCTATCTCTGTATGCACTCTTGGAAAACTGTAAACCCATTGATGCTCAGCCACCAAAACTGATTTTAGTGTTTGTGTTTTGCAAACTTTGTGAATTACCCACTGCAAATGCAGCCCAGATTTCACATGGCTGTGAAAAAACTCATTCTAAGTTTTCCTTTTGTGAGGAAAGCATCTGAGAAAGATGGGAGGCAGCCATGAGTTTACAGGGGGAGGAGGAATGGAAAGCAGTCCAAGATCTATTGAAATGAAGGAGGTTTCCATACCCTCAGTGGGTTTGCTTGCAAAAAGGAGGAAAAACAAGTGCTTTGATAATTTGTGGTAAATTGAAGTAAGCCTCTGAATTTCTGAAAGCTTTTGAATTACGTTGTATTATCTCACTGTACTGGGAACAGGTTTGAAATCCATCCCCAGTGAAACCACAGCTCTGCTACAGGAAAACAACCCTTACAACATTTCTAAGTCAATCTGTTCTAAAAAGTCTTTTCAAAGGCAACTCAGCACTGAGAAAGCACCCCATTATGTTTTACTAATGAGTATTTAATCTTTCTAATCTATCTAATCATACACATCCACACTATAGAATACACAGGCTAATACTTCTGAAATTGTATGTTTTACTTTGAGGACATTAGTGCATTTGTATTATGGATTAAGAATATGAATTTAAATATTCTTGGGTTTTCTCAACTGGAGATGCACAATTTGAAACGCAGCCATTTTAATGTGATCAGAATTCTGGGAGCTGCTGCACTGTGAATATTTGAATTGTGAATAGTGCTGTAATCAGACCATATTCTCTCCATGCCTGCATGTTGATGCCAATTCACTCTAATTTCCTTTCCATTTTTCCTTCTCCCCAGGGCATAAGTGCCCTGATTAAGCATCCCTGTCGCCTCCTTCAACACCATTCCCAGCTTAATGCTAATTATTGTGACTGACTTTTAGTACTACTGAACTGCACTGCAGTTAAACATGAGCAAAATGTGCAGTGTGGGGCTTTTTGACCTTTTCTGTTGTCAACATAGCATAGGAACTGTTATTCTAGTCCTAATTCCTTCTTTTTTCTGTTTGGAGTAGGGTAACTTCTCATTACAGACGTGCTCATCAGTTGTATGGCTGTTTGATGTTATTATTGCTCAGCACTAATCTTGCTTAACCTCAATTTTCAGCTCCATTGGCAGCATAAAGTTTATCTGCAATGAATGGAAAGCAAAAAAAAAATTTGAATTTTATTCTTCTGCATATGCTATTTGTTTCCTTCCATTTCCTATAAATATTAAATGTTAAATAGGGCTGGTTTATATTTGACACCAAAAAAAAGTTATTTATGTGGGAAAAACTTGGAAAGATCTTGGTTTTCCTGGAAAACAATGATGAGCCCATAAAAATCATTGACCTCACTTAAATATTCACTACTATGGGTCCACATTCTGTAGTGGAATGAAAAATATTTCACTGTTGATATAAACAAAACTCTGATAATTTGCACCATGAGGATCCAAAACTTTGCTGAAGGAAGCATCTGCTGTGGTGAAGATAGGAAGGAAAACAGAGGAGGAACCTGAAGGAATCCCGCTTAGTGCACTCCTAGTCCTGAAACAAAATGCAAATTACTGATTTTTAAATTGGCTTTAAAAACTCCCAAACCCCAGGGTCTCCCCAGTAGTTCCACCTGAGTGGATCTGTGAGGGTTTGCTTGCACAACCTCACACTGTGAACTGTGTGTGTGGAGCCAGGGCTGGCCAGGAGAGCAGAATTCAACTTGCTCAGATTTGGATTTCAAAGATTTAAAAGGGGCTGAGGGAAATAATAAGAAGACACCCAATCCTGGTGTCCTTTTTGTCCATATAATGATATATATTTGTGTGTTGGGAATATTTAACTGCTGAAAGAAGGGATAGGGTGCCCTGGGAGCCCCAGCAGCTCTGTCCCTGTTCAAAATCTTTTTTTTTATTTTGCAGATTTGCCTGAACCGGCGGTGCCAGAACACCAGTGTTTTTGGGGTCCATAAATGTGCCACCAAGTGCCATGGACGGGGGGTAAGCATCTTGGAAAACATTTTTTACAATCCCTCAATAACCACTGGACATGAAATCACTTTCTGTAACGGCTTTGAGATCTATAATTGCCTGCCATAGATCAGTCAGAGTCACTGCAATACATTTTATTATGTATTTCCATTTCCCCTGTGCCTTATATGAAATTGTTTTTATTTGACAAAGAAATGTTTATCAGGCAGTAATTATCTTGTTCTTAATTGACAGCCTGTGATACAAAGGAATCTTGTAATCCTCAAAGCAATTTGAAGTCTGACCCTCCATCATGAAGAATTCCCATTAAAAATCAAAAATGCAATTTCTCCATAGATACAAAGAAGTTGAAGTTTTTGAATTGAGCATTGGAAACATTGGAATTGAGAGGCAAATGAAACAGCATTTCGAATAACATTAAAAAAAGTAAAACCATATTGATGAGTTTTGTGGCATGAAAGTGGCACAGAATGAAAAATGTGATGATATCATTTAATAATATCAGTGGTTTGAAACCCAGTTTATATTATGATAATGTTAATTATGTCAAGCTTTGCCTTATTAACCTTGATGTGCTGATGAGCTGTTTGTTTCTCTGAAAAGCTGTGGCAGCCCCATTGGAAGAGCCATAGAAACTCACTGTCCTCTCTGAGGAAGGATTTTAATTTGCTTTAACTTATTTTATCACCCTGAATTTGCAAAACTGAGTGTGTTGATGGTGCTGCCTCTTATCATTGAGGACGGAATGAGCAGAGGCTTGGACTGGCATTTTTTATGTCTGTACAAACAAGAACCTCTGGTGACTCCTCAGTGGCAAAACTGACCTCGTGGAATTGTAAATGGGAATTCCTGTGGTGCTTTAATTTAAAAAATAATGCTTAACAAAGTATATAACAAAGTATATTTTTAATTATCTTGCTGTCTTTGAAATGTAAATTTATTTTTTTTTTTTAATTTTACATGACCACAGCCAGTCTGAGCTCTCTGAATATTTTAGTGCTCTGCAGACACAGGGAGCACAGTGTTTCTGAAAGCCTGCCAAGCTGACCTGGCCAGAATATTGCATGCTCAGAATAACCCAAACTCCTGTGAACTGATTTGTGTCTTACTGAAAACTCATTTATTAATCTGTGCTGTGGGCTCTCCATGGTGGTGGCAGATCAGTGATGGCTGGGGTTAGCACAGAATTAAGGACCTTATTGACAACAAACCCTAAGCCCAAAATCTTTTATTTACACATTGATTTGAGCACCTAAATATGACTTCATATCCTGGGGTCAGTTTGGATCCCTCAGGAGAAGACATTGAGGGGTGGAGTTCAGGGAAGGGAATGGAGCTGGGCAGGGGCTGCAGAATCCCTGAGGGAGCTGGGCAGGGGCTGCAGAATCCCTGAGGGAGCCGGGCAGGGGCTGCAGAATCCCTGAGGGAGCTGGGCAGGGGCTGAGCCTGGAGCAAAGGAGGCTCAGGGGCCCTTGTGGCTCTGCACAGCTCCTGCCAGGAGGGCACAGCCGGGGGGGTCGGGCTCTGCTCCAGGGCACAGGGACAGGAGCAGAGGGAACGGCCTCAGGCTGGGCCAGGGCAGCTCAGGGTGGATATTTGGGAACAATTTCCTCATGGAAATGTTTTTCCAGGCCTGGCACAGCTGCCCAGGGCAGTGCTGGAGTCCCCATCCCTGGAGGGATTTAAAATCCATGTGGATGTGGTGGCACCTGGGGCCATGGGTGGCCTTGTCAGTTCTGGGGAATGGTTGAAGATCTTGGAGATCTCTTCCAGCCTGAGCAGTTCTGTGACTCCATGCAGGGAGCTTTAAGCTCTGTGTTCACCACACAGCAGCTGCCTGAGGAGCAGCAGGAGGAGATAATGAGGGTTTGGGGACAGTGGGGAAAGCCCTGGAGCTCTGGCTCCTGCCCTGTGTGCAGCAGGGCCAGGCCGTGCTGGTGCTGAGCTCCAGTCCCTCAGAGCTCTCTGATCCCACAGGGGTGGTCAGGCCTCCCCAGCTGTTCCCTCACCCAGATTCAAACCACCCCAGCACAGAGCACTGTGTCTCTGCAGCCAGTGCAGGTGTGGCATTGTCCTGGTTCAGGGCACATTTTGGAGAGAACCCCCAAAGGGGCTCCTCTAGGAAAGCAGATTCAATTGGCTTCTCCCCCAACTGATTCAGGAGAAAATACTTCCTTGGGGACAAGTGGAAAAAAACCTGTTTATTAAACAATAAAACCTAAACAATATTAAACAATAGAACCCCTTGCTGCTCCAAAAGAGATGACAAACTGAGAAAGTCCCTCCCTGGGTTGCAGTTCAGCTCACTCAGGCTCTGATCAGTCCCTCAGTGCTGGAAATGTCACAGGCCAGGCCAGGCCCGGCCTGGTGGGCCCCAGGTGGAGCTGCTGGTGTCCAGTCCAGAGCAGGTTTAAACAGCTCCAAAGAAAAGGGAAAAAACCCCACAGTCCAGGGAACTTGTTTGCCTCAGCAAGCTAAAACTAACTAAAACAACGGAGAGCTCTGTCCCACTGTCTGTCCATCCACAGACAGCACAGGCCAGGAGCAGGAATGTGGAGGAGTGAGTGCAGTGCCTGAAAACAAACTGAGCTTCTTCTCTGCCCCCTTCACTCTCTGCAACAAGTCCTAAAGTGCAAAACTTATTATTGAGCATAAACAGAACACGACAGCTGGAGATTAAAGCAGCATATAGCCAACCTAGGACAGGTATCAAAGCTCCCTCAGGGTTTTCTCAGCCCTGAGCCCATTTCACAGCTTACTCCAGCAACTGGTTCATCTTGGAGCCATGGAAAAATCTGTGCTGGGCTCAGTGCAAGCCCTTATGGAGAGGAGAGCTTGGGGTGTAGTAATTACATATCTTCTGAACAGAGAGAGACATGGCTCTCCCAGGAAAATCCTGGGAAGCTGTGTAGAAGCTGTGAGAAATTTAGATGGAAGAATTCAAACAATTATTAACTCTCTTTCTGTAACCATTGTTTATAGATACGGTTTTCTAGAGTGTGCTATTCATATTCACCAATAATGGGAGAGAAGATTCCTAAAGGTCTTAGGTCCACCATTGTTTCTATAAGAACTGTAGATTTCTAATAATCAAGTGTCTTTTCATGCCTTCTAATAATAAAGTCTCTGTATCACCTTTGGCTGTCCCCAATACCCCTTCAGTAATACTTGGGGGGCTGACAAAGCTCTGCTGCTCCTGTGCAGGCAGGAGGAACTGAAGTTACCAGGCAGATACTGCTGCTGCTGGAAGCAAACAGAGAACAAGACTTAAGAGGTGTCTGATTATCCTCATATTATTGATGTTGTCAGCTGGGGCAACTCCAACGATTTCCTGCCAAAGAAATAATGGTTTTTAGGATCCTCTTCCTCCATGGCGAGTTGCTCTTTGACACCTCAGTGTGCAGCAGGCAGCTATCAGCACATCTCCTTTCTTCTCCAAGTTTTATTCCTCTCTGATGTGTCACTGTCTGATTAGAAGCCCTTATCAGCCAGGGCTGCTCTCGGGTGTTTTTCATGTTAAGCCATTTGTCTTGTTTTGCAGGTCTGCAACAACAAAAAGAACTGCCACTGTGAGGCTGACTGGGCCCCCCCCTTCTGTGACAAGCCAGGCTTTGGTGGCAGCGTGGACAGTGGGCCCATCAGACAGGCAGGTCAGTGGGAATTCAGGCTCCACCTGGTTTTTTTTACAGGAGAAAGAGTGGAAACTGGTCAACCTCAAAAAGAATTATTTCTACACTTTGTTAATTTTGCAGGATTTCATTATTCCATGCCAATTTTTCCCCAGAGTGTTGGAACATTAGTGACCTCAAAGATGTTTCTGGTTTATGTCTGAGGACATGACAGGACAAGCAGTCTCCTCACAAGTGGATGTACAAACTAAATCTCAGTGGGAAATAATGTCTGCTTTCATATGAACAATACAGTTCTAAACCAAAATGGATCTCTCCTCTGCATGCCAGATGCTGCAGTGGGTGGCAATAGTGAAATTATGACAGCATGGTTATTTCCATGACAAAGCTTCCCATCATGATTTCACTGCTGAAAGATTTTTGGTTTTTGAAGATAGCAAAGAAACCCTGGCCATGCCCTTGGAAGAAGTTAACTCCATGTGATTTTTTTTGCAGACAATAAGAGCTTGACCATAGGAGTGTTGATAACCATCCTGTGCCTTATCTTTGCTGGATCAATCATGTACCTCAAAAGGAAGACTTTCATGAGGTGGTTGTTTACAAGCAAGAAGACAACAATAGAGAAATTAAGGTATGCCCATTTTCCCTAATTATATTCCAATAGATATTAAGGAAAGGAAGCAGTAAACACAGCAATTCTCATCACTGTGGATGTATTAGGAAGAACCAGCCTTGACAAAAAATATTCAGCATTATCAGCAGTGTTTTCCCTGGGTTGGTTTAATTTCATTGATAGGCAGTAAATAACACAGGTATTGGTTTGAATATATCCCTCTTTCCTTTTGGGATGAAAAATTAAGCAGCGATGGAAGTATTGTCTTTATTTCCATTTGTCTGAAACAGTTTCATTACACTGCATGGCCTTTTATCTAAACTCAGCTGAGTGAGCTGAAACTTTCCTATTTGAGGTCATTACTGTTTAAATGTTAGATTCATTAGAATAGTCTCCTGGGTGTTACAAAGCTGCATTTCCACAGATTGCAGAAGCTAATTTAACAGACTACTGGTTTCTAAAAAATCAATATTTATTTTTATTCTTGCAGGAGTGCTAGACAATTTTTACTTTCCTTGTTTACTATAACCAGGCAGAAAGTCCTTGCAAAATCCCATCCTGAAAAGAGGCTCCTGTTTAAGAAAATGTTACAAAGCAGAACGTTGTGTTCAACAATTAAATGTTTGTATTGCAGGTCTGTGAGTCCAGCAAGACCTTCCAGTTCATCTGAGCCAAATCATGTTCATACCGTATGTGTTAGTAAAAACCTCATTGTGAAGCCACAAAATACAGCCATACAAAAAGTGAGTCCATAAATATTTTTTTTTAAGTGGGGGAAAACCAAAAAAAGGTCTCATGTATTTTGGATCTCAATTAAGTGATTTATTATAATACAATAATTACATGAACTTAATATCATGTAGGTAGGACTAACATTAAGTAAAATGGGAGAGGATGTAGGCTTCAAAATTCATTTATGCCTTCCACATTGAATACAGGTGGAGCTGTCCAGTGCAGAAAATAAATAGTTTTGTCTTTAGGAGAGAAAAGCAGGGGACTCCCATGGATTTTAAAGTAGCAATAGGCCAGGTTTGACAGGGCTTGCAGCTCCCTGGTGGGAGGTGTCCCTGCTCACAGCCAGGGGTTGGAACATGCTGGTCCTTCAGATCTCTTCAGAACAAACCATCCTGTGATTCTGTGCCAGCCCTTGAAATGTACAACTTTGGTTGGATTATTGAAATGAGTAACTTTGGTGGAAGGTTTGTGTAAATGAGTAACTTTTGTTAACACCAAAATGTGTAACTTTGGTGGATGGTTGAAATTGTATTACTTTGGTTGGATTATTGAAATGTAAAACTTTGGTTGGATGATTGAAATGTATAACTTTGGTTGGATTATTGAAATGTAAAACTTTGGTGGATGATTGAAATATATAACTTTGGTTGGATGATTGAAATATATAACTTTGGTTGGATGATTGCCATTTATAACTTTGGTTGGATGATTGAAATGTATAACTTTGGTGGATGATTGAAATGTAAAACTTTGGTTGGATGATTGAAATATATAACTTTGGTTGGGTGGCTGAAATGTGTAACTTTGGTGGATGATTGAAATGTATAACTTTGGTGAAGAAGATTGAAATTTCTAACTTTGGTGGATGATTTAAATGTGTAACTTTGGTTGGATTATTGAAATTTATAACTTTGGTTAATGATTGAAGTGTGTAATTTTGGTTGGATGATTGCCATTTCTAACTTTGGTGGATGGTTTTTCCCAGAGGGAGGGCCCCAGGCGGCCGCTGCCGTATCAGATCATCGACATCAGCGACCCTGTGAAGACACACGAGGTGCCACCATTAAAAACACCCCAGAGGGTCCTGCCACCCCTTCCCCAGCTGCCAGGACACCAAGCTGGGCCTGAGAGACCCCTGCCAGCTAATCCTTCACTGAGGTTCACCCAGGTAACTGTTCTCTTTGAACCATTGATTCTCTTCTATGTAATATTTACTCTGTGAGTGTCTGGAGAAATGAAGTGTTTTCTCATCTTTCTTGCTGCCCTTTTCCCACAGTATTTTCTTTATGTTTTGTGTGAGTTCAGAACTGTGCTGTAGAAAAATTGCCTTGTGGCTAGTGGGGCTGTGATCCTAAAATTTTGGATCCTGAACTCTGCCTTCACCACTCAAAAGACAACAGAACAAAGACATTAGAGGCAAACACATCTCTGCAGCTGCCCAGGCAGGGGAGAGCTGCACAGTTTGTTAGTGAGCTGCCAGACACTGAGAGAGAGTTTAGGGAGTCATGTTGCAGATGTGATGTGCAAGAGCAAAAGGTGTCTTAGCTTGATGTGCTTCTGCCCTGCCAAGGGCTGCATGAAGCACAGTCTGGTTTTCCAGGGCACAGACACAAAAACCACTATTTCATGCAGACCCACCTTTCACTGCAATGTTTAAGTAGAGATGGTAATTATTTTTTATTTTTTATTTTTGAATAAGATGCATCTGAGGGCGATAGACAGGGTAGATGAAGCTGTGTGTATTAAACAGTGCCTTTCCTTGTCACTGGCTGCTCCCTTTTGGTGGCACTTTGGAGTGACTGTTTCTGTGCAAAGCACCCAGGCTGTTCCTGTTCTGGCTGTGGTACAAGGTTGAAATGGAGTTGTTAACACCTGCAGGAGCCCTGAGAGCTGCTTGAGACCCTGTCCTGGTGCTGGATAGGAGGAGACAGCTCTGAGACAGTGCTGGAGTGCAGGGCTTTGAAAAGGGATTGGAAAAATGTCAGAAACAAAGAGGGATGAGAGAGGCTGCCCAGAGAAGTTGTCAGGGAGGGTGCCCAGAGCAGCTGTGGCTGCCCCTGGATCCCTGGAAGTGCCCAAAGCCAGGTTGGACAGGGCTTGGAGCAGCCTGGGACAGTGGGAGGTGTCCCTGCCCATTGTGGCAGCAAATAAGTGTTTCTAGATTTAATTTTTTCTAAGCCTGAACATTGTATCACTCAGGTTAGACCAACTTTTCCAAGTGCAATCTGTGTTTTATTTGCTTTTTTATCTTCCCTTTTCCACGTTTCCAGTCATTTTCCTTTCCAGAGGAGTAAGGAACGCTGATTCTTTCTAAAATAAATTTTGTAGGGAGTCAGGAGCAATATTGATTCCTCTTGCTTGTCTTTAGCTCCAATGGTCTTAGTGTTCATTTTCTCATTTTCTCTAACATTCTACACAATTCACAGTGGTCATAGGGAAGATTTCAAGTGCAAGTGCTTTTCTGCTTCTTAAGCAGAATATGGATGGAGAAAAGGCTTTCCAAGGAAAAGGAAAAGGAGCCATTTGTCATTCTGATACTGCATCTGCACCTGCCCCAGCCTCACTGCACATCACAGCAGCCCAGTGCTCCCCTCTACAGGTCGTGTTCCTAAATCCTTGTGCTCCAAATGTCACCCAGAGTGCCAGGTGGAACACCAGACCTGCAGTACCACCACTAGCAAAGACTGACAGATCTGAAATTGCCAAAAAGCTTCTCAGCTTGGCAGCTCAAATTCATTGTGACAGTTCCTTCATCAAGCAAAATATCATTGCACCATTTTCAGCCTCTGCATGGAACACAAACAGGGGATCAGCTCAAGGCAGCCTAAAGAATGAGCAAGAATAGATGCTTTCAAAATTAGATCATAACCTCAATATTGTGAGAAACAGCTACTTTTTATGTCAGAAGGACCAAAAAACACTGTGTGGGGAGAAAATCTTTCATTCCTAAGTCAATTTTTTTCCCTCAAATCTTGGAAGAAGTAAATTAGAAGAGTTAGAAGTAAATTCAGAAGAGTTTGGGATAATAAATATAAATACTGCTTCATGTATTGCTTCAGCTCTCTCTTGGAAGCACGTCCAGAAGGGGAGCAAGAGGAAGGACTTGAAAAATCATTGCTACATTCAGGATATCACCCAGATGCTCAGTGCTGCAGGATGGTGCTGTAAATTATATAAAATTGCCTTCAGTTGTAAGTAAAATAGTTAAAAAACAAAGACAACACGAAATAAACCAAACCAATCAAGCAAACAAAAAATCCTCAGCGAATTAGCTCTTGCCAAGTTTAATATTTAATTATCTTTTTGACTGAAAAACAGCTTTTCCTTCTTTCAGATGCTCTTGCAAGGCAAACAGTCTTTATTTATGGGCCAGATTCACAGTCAGTATAAATCAGCAGAGCCCATGTGAATCAAGGGAACAGTGCAGGTTTATCCTAGCCATGGGTTCAGTGCAGGCATTTGGATTTGATCTCTTTCCCCTCGATTTTGGTGCTTTTAGCATTCAGTTGCTGCCTCTGACACTCTCATCCTCTTGTTACCAAAATATATCTCAGATTTTACAGCTCATCCTAATGCCAGGGAATAGAACTTTTTTACTTCAAAATTTTACCACTTAAAAAAGTGGTTTTACTTGTTCCTAAAACCAAGCTCAGCCCAGCTCTGCTCCTTCTGCCACAGTTATCCTGGGAAATCTCTCCTGTGACACCTCAGCTTGGCTGTAATCACTGAGGGTTTTCACTTTCTTCTTCAAAAATCAGTGGAAAAAACTGGAATTTCATGCACCTGATGTCTTTGGAGCTGCTCAGTATGAGAATTGTGTTTTTTCATTCCAATGTTTAAAACAACACTTCCCCAAGCAGGGCCTGAATGCATTAAATGCCAGGTTGTGGATATAAAATGGACAAAGAAATCCATCCATAAACTCTTTGTAAGGAAGAGCTGAAGTTTTGTAGGGGAAGGAGTGGAGGAAGGAATGAGGGAAGCAGAGCTGTGGTGGTACCCTGAGCTGTGCTGCAGATTCCAGCACATCAAAGGCTCTGCAGGGCCCCACACGAGGTAACACACAAAGTTTGGATGCTCCTGTGGCACAGAAAGAACAGAATAATAATTCTGTAATCAGTCTGGGGGAGGGTGGGATTTATTTCTTCACAGAGCTTTTCCTCTGTTCCTTGGGTTGTGTGTTCCTGGTGGCATCTCCTTTCTATCAAGTGCTGCTCCATTTTGCTTTATCTAAGCCACCATTTATTCTCCAGCTCCATTTTTATCAGAGTTCCCTTTTCAATTTTTTTCTTTCATTTACCCTTTCCCAGCAGCTTGCCACCACATTACACTTCCTGTCAAAACACTTGGCTGCTTCCTCCTTAAGGATATTTTAACTTGAGGACATTTTGAGTGGGAAATGAATGAATAAATAAATCAGGAGTTGGGCCTATGTACCTATCAATACTAGTACTTGTTATGCAGAGAATTAAACAGAGGGTGGACATTACATGCAACTCTAAAATGTAGTTTGTGGCAAATTTAAACTTATATATGAGATTTACTTAAGCTCATGTATTTTCTTCCTTATCAAAATGCCTGTGGATAATCAATCTGCATTTCCTTCTTGAAAGAGCAAATATTTGCCATGGAAAGTAAAAAACCAAAAGGATGCTCAAAACAAATAATGAAAAGTTGGACTTTATTCAGGAGCAATTCATGCTCTGATTGCTTGGATCACATCTTTCAAAGGATCTTTAATCAGATTATGCTTGTAAGCTCTTCTTGTTTCCTTTAACTTTACCAATGATCCTTAACTAAAAATAAGGAATAAAATTCCTTGGGAAAAGCTTGGCTATGCAGCTCCAGTGGTAAAAAGATCTGAAGTGAGTTTGGGGATAAACTGGAGAGATCTGTGTGCCCTGAGCAAGCCACTTAATGTGTCCCAGCTCCCCATAACAAGGAGCACAAACAGCCAAGTTTCCCTGTTTGCAGGGACCACCCAGAGGAGCCACTGGCCCAGCCTGACAGCAGATGACTTCTGTTCTTTATTAATGGAGCCTTTAATTCCACTGAATGAAAGCACAGCAAAAAAGATTCCACAGATGCTCCCAATCCAAACCAGACTGGGGCACTTTGGTTTTGTGGCCATCTGAATTTCCATTTTAATGTCATGTCGAGCATTCCCACCTTTCTATAGAACTGCTTCTACAAAGTTGTGTATTGAATCTTTGCTGTTTCCATTTACCACCAAGTAAGCATTGAGTCCAGTAGAGATGCACCCTGCATTTCTAGAGCAAGGAATCAAAAGTCATAAAATCATGAAAATATAGTATCAAATCTTTGGTTTAAAATTAGAGTGCCAGTTTATTAAAAATAAGTTACTTTTTACTCATTTAAACTTATCTGGTCATAACATATCTTCAGTTTAGGTTTAGATTAGGTGCTAGGAGGAAACAGTGAGGGGGGATGAGGTGTCAGTTTTACCTAGAGTGGTGGCTGCCTCCTGGAAGTGTCCAAGGCCAGGTTGGATGGGGCTTGGAACAGCCTGGTGATGCCTTAAGTTTTAGCTTTCCTATTTTCCAGATCCTGTACTGCATTAGTGTACAACTCTGAACTTCATATGAAGTGCCAGCAGCTCTCCCCACAGCTCAGGCACACAGAACAATCCTTTTCCAGCCCCAGAACCAAGGACACCACTGCAGCTTCAGCCCCAAAAAGGGCAAATAGCAGGGAATTGAGGGAAGCAAATTTGGGAGGATGGGACTTCATAACCTGGAGCTGGGATTGGACAATCAACCCCAGTATGGAAATGGACCAGAATTTATAAAAGTGTGAAAACTCGTGACACGCCATCCATCTTGGGTCCATCCACATTAAAAATAGAATCAATACAGTCTACAGATTTTAGCAAAAATACTGCACAAAGAAACTTTGATTAAACTCCTGGCTGTCCATTCCAGGCAGATATTCTGAAAGCAACAACATTTCCACATTAACCCAATATGGAAATGGACCAAAACTTATACAAGTGTGAAAACTCGTGACTCATTGTCCATCTTGGGTGGAGCCATGGCCAGGCTCTTGAACTGCCCAGGGTGTATCTGTGAAGGCCTTTTAATAAATACCTGCTTTATTCCTTTAAATGCTTTATTCTTTATTCCTGTTCTCAGCAGCCTCCCAGGCATCACTGGGACAGTGGGAGGTGTCCCTGCCCGTGGCAGGGGTGGCGCTGGGTGGGCTTTAAGGTCCCTCCCAGCCAGCCCAGCGTGTGAGTCCCCAGTTCTATGGCCTGACATGAGCTGTGGCCGTGTGCTGGAGGGCAGGCTGTCCCCTGTGAGAACTGACAGGAGCTCGTGTTCCCTGCAGGAGCCCCCCAAGCCCAGCGCCCCTCGGAAGCCTCTCCCCGCGGACCCGCTGGGCCGAGCGCGCCAGGGCCCCGCCGGACGGCCCCGGGCTCTGCCCCACGCCAGCCCTGCCAGGTCAGTCCCCACCCTCGTGCCTTAGGAGTGCAGCTCCTGTGCTTCCCCTCTGCCTGTGATCCTGTAACTCAGCAGGGTGTAACCCAAACTCCACACAGTGTCAGCTGCTGCTTCCCCATTTTAGGCAGACACAACAATTCTCCTCCAGGCCTGGCAATCAAGGACACCTCACTGCCTCAGGGCCCACAAGTGTAAACAAAAGTGAGTTTTGGGGGGAGAAAACTTGAGGTAAATTACTTCATTAACTGAAGCTGTAATTGGAAAATTAACCCCCAATATGCAAATGGACCAAACTTTAAAAAGTGTGAAAACCTGTGACCCATCATCTTTTTCTGGGTGTAGTCACTGGGGAACTTTGTCTGCCCAAAATGTGCCTGAAGTTCCTTTAATAAATATAACCCCTTTTTATTCCCTTAATTTTCCCTTTTTCATAAAAGTATGAAAACCTGTGCCCCACCATCCATTTCTGGGTGTGGTCCCTGAGGAGCCTTGTCTGCCCAAAATGTACCTGAACGCCCTTCAATATATATTTAACCTCTTTTTATTCCCTTAATTTTGTCTAGCCTCTGTTTTTAGGCAGTCCCAAAAAGGTATCAATCCCAACACCTGGATTTTAGCACTTCACAGCAACATGGCTAAAACAGCTCAAGGAGCTGCTGCAACAACCACTTCCAACATAATTTCCATCTCTAATTTTACTCATCATACTGCTTCTCACTGGGAGTGCACCAGCACAGTTGCTCTGACTCCCACAGAATATGAGGATTTATAATACCTGTGAAGGCTTGACTGTAAACACCTGGCTGTATATTTACAAAACTAACCAATAAAAAAATGAATTTTCTCCACAGTTCCCCCCATCTGAATACTATTAAAATCAGCCACCAAAAAAGTGATTTCCTCATCACCTATTTCCCAAGGAAACATCAGTTGCCATCATCTGAAAATGTTACCCAAAAGATTCAAAAAGCATAGAAATTGTGCACTTCAAAAGTCTAATGTTTGAAAAAAATAGTCAGGAAGTGGAATAACTACACCCAATGTTAGTGAGTTTAGTCAATGCTGTTTTCTTACCCAATATTCCTCAGTTTCCTGTGAATAAAGTGAGCTCCAAGGAAGATAAAACTGGTGTCTTAAGCTACAAGAATTCTACCAGTAAAGCACTGAAGTGCTCAGAAACATTAAAAATAGAACCAATATTGTCTCCTATATTTTAGCAAAAAAATTGCACAAAGAAACTTTGATTAAACTCCTGGCTGTCCATTCTAGTCAGAAATTCTGAAAGCAACAACATTTCAAGCTGACCCCTACAGCTTTTGGAGACCACCTGGAATTCTGTACCATTACTGACATTTTTGATCAGGTACAAAATTGATGAGCACCCAAAGAAATGGAGATTAAGTAACAATACTCTGTTTTCTTTCTTTCCAACAGGCCTGCTCCCAAACATCCACCACAGGTATCCAGGTCCAGCAACACTATGGATGTGAAATGAAAATCTGACACCTTTATTTTAAAAAGTGAAGACAGAAGTTTGCACTATCTTTCAACTCCAGCTGGAGTTCATTTCTATGACAATACTTAGAACTTTTAATGTTTAAAACAGCATTATTTTTAAGAATTCTGAGCTACTGCCTTTGGTGCTGTGCTGTGCTATGGTGCTCTGTATACTTGCTCAGGTACTTGTAAATTATTAATTTATGTTGAATATTTATTACAGTGCAGTGCACTGTAGTAGATATTTTTACCATAGCTGAGTTTTCCTAAAAAGGAAACCTTTTTTTTGTAATATTTCACTGAACTTGAATAATTCTGCTCTGTTGGTCCTATGTAGATCTCTTAGTTTTGTTCTTTAAGGGGTGCTGATGCAGATCAATGAAATGTGTAAACAGCTCCATCTCAATGGTCCTTACCCAACTTCTGAGTAAATATGGCAGGGTGAAAAGACAAAATCTCTCCTGGAACTGGGTGAAATGCCCAATACCTGCACACAAGGTGTGACCTGCATGTAACCAAAGGCTCACTCTGTGTCTGCAGCTGTACTGTAATCTCAATTTTCACCTTACTGTTTGAGATCTCCCAGTGTATCCACCTGGGAGAAGTCCTCTCACTGAAGAAGTACTGTACATCACCAAGCTGTGGTGGTTTTAACCTCATTTTCCTCAAGCACAGCCTGCTCAGTCCATATTAATGCAGATATCAGGCCTCCCTGTGCCATCTCCTTTTTGATGCTTTGTAATTAAATTCCACCATCTCATTGTTGTCCATTGATTAGACTGGCAGTGCATTATACCCAGGGCTGGGGGGAAGCCAAGGATGACAAAGAATTACATTTAAAAATCAAATTTTATATTATTTCCTTTTGCCTCACTGCTCTGCTTATCACCTGTATTTTGCATATTTACTACTGTTTTGTATTAAACTTCTACAAGGTTGCTCCAGGTTCCTTAATTCCCAAATCAAAATGTGTATTTTAATACATAGACTTGGATTATCCAAAAAATAAAAAAAAAGTTCATCTCTGCTCTGTGATTACACCTGATCTCTTCTGTGCCTTCTCAGTAGCACTGCTGAACACAGTTTCACCTGTAAAAACAGCAATTTTTAATTATCAGCTGAAGCAGAGGGAGAAGGGACTATCACATTCAATGGTTTCCTCATTGCTTGTGGTTTTTGTTTCCTTAAGCAAAAATAAAAGCATTGATAGAAACTCAGACCTGGCTTCAGGGAGTGTCATGGTATTTCATTTTCCCAGTTATTCCCCCTCATAGCAGCACAACCTTCATGTTTATGGAGAAACTGAACAAACCAAAATAACCAAAATACACCCCAGCTCAGTTTGGTGCTCTATAGCAAAGGAAAAGCTTCACAAATGTATTTCAATTCTTAAAGCAGCAACAGGGCTTTGTGTGTGGAGAATCACAACAGAAGGTTTGGGGAACCAAAATGATGCTTTTTATGTACTTTACATATTTCTGTATTTAAAATACTAATTTTTTTGTATCTAGAGTAGGGGGTACCTCCATTTGAAGCAGCCACATGAGCTCAGTTTGCTTTTTGAATGCTCCCATTTTATCAGATTCCTTCTGCAAATTGCTGAAAACCACAAGGTGAAACTGTGGGTAGTGAAAGGTGACATGAAATGACTAAAAAGTGTCTGTTATCAGCATCAGGAGTTCTGAATTTACCAGGAGCAGCCTAGGTAAGACTTGGCACGTGTATAAACTTAAATACAACCAGCCTAGGCGGGCTTTAAAATATAGAAAATAGAAATATCCACACAGGGCACCCAGCTGTGTCCCTGTCACTGCAAGCAGCCACCTCACCCACACCATGTGTTAAATTTCTTAACTATTCCCACTAAAACAAGCACAGGTATCCAGGGACAGGGAATTTAGTCCTACAGTTAAGAAGAACATATTATCTACCAGACTTACCATCTAAGACATGGCTAAACTTTGAGATTTCTAGATGTCTGGGGAAAAAAAACCCAATTCTCTGTCTGAAACACAGGTAACAAAATCCAAAGATCCTGTAAAAATTGATACCATTACTTGACACCAATAAAATTTCTTACTGAATAGTACAGGGTGATTTTTTTCACAGCAAAGTGTGGGTGAAATGTAGGCAACAGCCATAAAATGTAAAATCCTTCCAGTCAGCAATTTGCAAATTTTATATTTTTTTATATTTCTTTTATTTATATTTTTTATATTTATTTTATTACTTATATTTCACAGAACTCACAGAATGACTAGGTTGGAAGAGATCTTAAAGATCATCGAGTCCATCCCATGCCCTAACACCTCAACTAAACCAATATATTTATATTTATATTATCAGCTGCAAAATTCTACAGGCAGAAAAGGACTTGTAGCTTGGGTGGAACGGGACAAGAAACAACACCTGACAACAAGAGATGACACCAAATGATCCATCAAATCCTTCTTTTCTTTTAGGGACTTTTATCAGTAGTGGCTGGTTTGAGGTGCCTTCCCACCTAATTAGTGCCTTCATGATTAGAAATGCAGATGGCATGGAAAATTCCACTGTGGAGAGCAGGTGAATGGTTTTACATCTGTAAGCAAATAAATTCCTGTGGGATACAGCAGGGTGTGAAATCCAAGGTGTGCTCCTTGCACCAGCCCTGGCATAATAAATTCAGTCCTGTCATCATAAATTCCTCCACCTCCCTGCTCAGCAAATCACCTTTTCTAAATCACCTTTAATAATTAAAGGTTAATAATGTCTAAATCACCTTTAATAATTAAGGTTACACCAACCTTTAAATCCTCAGTGTTTTATGGGTCTCAGTTTATCTTGGTGGGAGAGATTTTTTGGGGCTGATTCTTCCTTTCTGTCCTGTCCCACACCCCTGGAATGCTGCCACAGCCAGGCTCCCTTTCCAGAGGGAAGGCAGGAACAGAGTGTGCTCTCCCTAAAGCTGCCTTTATGCTAATCAATAGAACAGAAAGTACAAAACACCAAAGAAAATTAATAAATAGGCAGTAAACAAAAGGAAAATTGCATATTTACCATCTTTCTCCCCATCAAGTCCCTTGGGTTTAGTATTCCCAGATTGTTTGTAAATGCTAGCAATTATCAGGGTAGCAAGATTTATCTCCTTTTAATTTCATGGAATATTTTAAAAGCCTTTTCAGAAGCTCAGAGTATAAAGAGATAACAGAGCTTCCCCCTTTGCTTCAATTCTGGTTTCTTCTGATCATTTGAGTATGCAATATTCTCTTTTATTAACTTCCAATCAAATAACAGCAGTTTCCAATTTAACTGTAAATTGCCATGTAACAGTAAACAAATTCTTTCTTTATCTCACTTTGCAAAACATCATTTTCTGAACTCAGGAAGGCTGAAACTCGTTCTGCACAGGGACCATCCTTCCACAGAACGAGACCACACAGAAACATTCCCCACAAATTACAGACAGCTGCCCTTTTCACACAACACTTACAAGAGAAATTAAAAACCTGGAGCACATTGAACACTTAGAACTCTTGGGATTCAGTTCATTCAGGAATTCATATCCAACATTATCATCATCATCATCATGACAAAAGATACTTTTCATTTCCATGACCCTCTTTTATTTTTTTAACCAGTGTACAAGACCACGTGTATCTGTAGAGGTGAGCAGTACATGTTTCTGCTTTATTTCAGACCTCAATTCTTACATATTTAAATTCATTGCTTTTAATGCACTTAGGAACAACTGGGGAAGGGTCTGGAGCACCAGGAGGGGCTGAGGGAGCTGGGCAGGGGCTCAGCCTGGAGAAAAGGGGTTCAGGGGGGACCTGGTGGCTCTGCACAGCTCCTGGCAGGAGGGGACAGGGACAGGAGGAGAGGAAATGACCTCAAGCTGCAGCAGAGAATGTTTAGATCGGATATTGGGAAGAAATTCTTCCCTTAAAGAAGGAGGGTAGGAGAGAAGAGCATCTTCCTGCCTGTGTGTTCCCACTGCTGCAAGAACCCACAGCAAAAATTAAAAGTTCTATCCACCAGATTGCCTTTTGTATGTGCCATATCTTAGATTATGCTGGATTTGCAGGAAAGGACTGATTTTTTTCTAATTTTTTTAAGCAATTGAATTTTGCATTTCTCAGTGGTCTACTCTGCAATCTTGATGTTACTTGATATAAAGACCTCTAAAACTACTTTTTAAACCCCCAAACCATAACCTTCAGGAACCAATCTGAAAAGACCTCAGATCATTTATATACTTAACATATATCACTTGCTTTTATTTAGCAAATATACCAGATTATTTTACTGTTAAAACTGTAAATTAGTACTTAATTCTAAAAACCAAAAACTAAAATATATCAACATATATTTTCTACAAAGATTCATTAATTTGCCTAATTTTCTGTAAGAATTTTAGACAAACCTTAACAATCTGAACATATTTTTCACTTCTAGAGCTGAAGCTAAATTTGTTGCACAAGCAGCTCGTGATTTGAAGTAAAGAAGCATCTCCTTGGAAAATTTAAAGATGGGTATTAACAAGGTTGGGTAAGAAATGCTATTTTTTTGTTTACTAAGGAGACAGTCATGAAAGAAAAGAGGTCTTGAAGAAGAACAGGAAGCAGTACAGAAGAAAAAAAAAAATCAGTATTTAATTTCCAGCAGTTTTGTAATATCCTCAGGGGAATGCCAAAAAGTATCTTGTTTATTTGAATTTCTTGCTTTACATCTAACTCTGTGCAAGAGGGTTCTGTAAGGATTCAGTGTCTGTAAATCCAAATGCAGGAGGAGATGCTGAAGAGGAGGCTGAGCTCCAAAATTTACAGTGCCAGGGACCCAGAAATCTGAATAATAGAGGTGAAACAGGCAAGTTACAGCATTTGGAGCCAAATACTCATTTTTGCACTGACTTGGTAGGAAAAATCAAAGTTATCTGAGGCCTCATCTCCAAACTGGGGAACAGCAGTTTTTCTCTTTGTTTTTCCTTCTTGACTTCTAGCAAATTGTCCAAGCTCC